TAGAATCATAATACAGAGATCAAAATACATATATATTTTATTAGAAAAAAAAAATATTTCAAAATAAAATTATTCTACACATTTTATCGTTATCAATTAACTTATTTTTCTCTAATTTATTTTTCGTTCGTCGAAATGAAACAAAACGTACAAAAATGAGTACATGAATTTTAATATAAATTAAATGAAGTGCACAAATATTTGCGGACTGTAATGTATTGATTGTTATTTTGATATTTCAGGAATGAATCAAGAAGCAATACAGCGAGTTGCACAAAACCTTCCGCATCACATGTTGCACTCGCTATCGCAAGTGGCGAATCAAACGCCGCATCACTATCCGCCGCACACTCCGGGAGCGGCTAGTGCTACCGGCTACGGCGGAGTGCACACGTATCCCAACACGCCGTACACGCCGTCTGGCCAAACTCCGTTTATGACTCCGTATCAGACGCCGCATCATACGCCGCATCACGGCCAGCCCACTCCCAGATACGGTCAACAAACTCCTAGCCATCATCAAGGACCCTTCGTACACCCGCCGCCACCCTCGATGACGCCCGGCCATCATAGGTCCGCTCAATCGCACAGACCTACACCACCCCTGTCCACTCCTTCCGGCGATCCCATGGATTGGAAGAAGACCGGCGATCCCACGGACTGGAAGAAGGCCGCCGAAGCGTGGGCACGTTTGAAAAGCGGTCCTCGAGTATCGTAAGTATAATAATAAATAAATAAACGATCACACTCAATTTTTCATTTAAACATATTAAACGATCATTCAATTATCAAACATTTTTTATATCTTATGTGAGATGTTCTTCATTCGATTATCGTTAATGGTTAAATGTGCTTTCAGCGGATCGACGCCCAGGTACGAAGAGTCCAGAAAAACTCCGCGTAACTACGACGACCCAATCGGTAGAACGACGCCCTCCGGAAGGAGCAGGCCCTCCTCCACGCGTACTCCATCGTATAAATCTCCGCGAGGTACTCCACACACGAATTCTAGTCCACGGAGTATGTCTCTCAGCGGAGATGGTACTCCTCTCTACGATGAGAGCTAACGGGATTGTGCATAGCTGATAATATTTATTAGTTACGTCATATCATGCTATGTATGAGATAGTAAGAGTACGTGTGGCCCCTCGACGACGGGTAATTTGTCTCACCCCGAAATATC